ACGTCAATCAGAAGTACTTGTGGTGAAGACTAGAGGATTGGATATGTCTGTTGCAAGGATACAGTCTTGGTCTGGTGTAAATCAGTTTGACTCTGATTTGTAGATGCTGAGGTCGAATGATTTAATGGAAGGCGAACAAGGGTCAAGTTGAAGTGGGCTGGTGGGCAAACAGACTTGAGAGGAATGAAGTACGAATTGAAGCTGAATGGTTGATAAGTCTTCTGGCAGACGAATGGTTCACTTCAAATTCTTCTCTTTCAGTCTTATAACCTTCAGTTGACTTGGACAGATGATATCACCACGGTGGGGGTGTTAGGACATGTTTCAAGAAACCCATGTGGATGGCAATTTGAGAATGCGTGTAAGATTTAAAATTGATATAGAAGATGTGATTGAGGAGGATTAATGAGACCAAATGGGTTGAAATAATCCTCACAGTGACTCGTGGGGTGGATATGTGACTAGGCTGTATCCAATGAGCAGTGATGATTGTTGACAGGGATGAGCACTTTCGTAGTACTTTAAAATGAGTTCAAAGTCATTTCTATCGAATGAATTAGTCTTAATAAGACAAGATGTATGTTGTGAAATATTGAGGTGGTAGTGACGAGATGGTGAGCCCATGCAGTCAGTGTAGTGTGGTGAAGGCGACTTACTGGTGCTGTTCACTACCTTGCTCATGACTTAATTGTTTTCAAGTGAAGGGAAAGTGTAGGCAAATGTGACTGTAGAAAGGTGTTCAGCCAAATGGGATTGGGTTTGCCAAAACGAAAGGAAAGCAAAAGGTTTTGCATGTCTTCCTTAATTTCACCAAACTGTCCTACTTGTGTCTTTAAATCTCTTGAAGATTTTCTGACGAAAGGTTTTTTTTGCTTATGAGAATAGAACCTCGCAGGGTAGTTAGCCATTTCGGAGTCGGTGGTAAGCAATTTGTTGTTGATGCGTATTAGTTCTTTCTTGAGTCTTTCTCTGTTATTTTGGAGGTTGCCCAGGAATTCGAAAGTGCGTTGGCTATCACTCTGATAGTTGATATTTGAGATGAAGTTGTCGAAGGAAGTCCGTTTAGCTTGTAAGATGGCTTGCCTTAGGACAGCTGATTTTCGTCTCCAGGCTTGCACGTCTTCCATTCTTCCAGTCTAATCAGCAATGTTGCGAAGGGCGTCCCGCTTTCTTTTCAGTTCCTCAATGTGTTTAGACCAAAACACTCGATAGTGTATAGTCCTGCCTCTGGGAATAGTTTTCTTTGCACATCTGATCATAATATTGGTGATATCATTGCAAAGATTGTCAGGATGTTGGTTGAAGTTGAGGGGACTTAATGAAATTCATCCTCTAAAAGGTTAGTGAATCTAGGCCAGTCAGCCTTCTTGAAGTTCCATGATAGCTTAGTTGGCAATTTCCTTGTCACGCTTTTGCTGCGATGTTAATACTAGCAATGACTAGCAATGACAGAACCAGGATCGTCAATTATTTTGCGGCGTGTATGCTCACTGATGTCGCTTGAAGCCAAGAGTAAATCAGGAGTTGTTCTGGATCCATTGTAGTGCAAATATGCAGCCGGAACCTCATTGCTGTAAATAAGTTCCAGAGGGTTGCTGTTTAACTTGTCTTCAATTTCCTTTCCAGCTATGTTTGTATCCTTGTAGCCCCATCTGATGGAATGGACGTTGAAGTCTCCTAATACTGCAGTTTTGTGTGAGGTGTTCAGAAAATCAAAGTTGGGACAATTCTGGGGTGGATTATTGACTGCATATATCTTGAATTGGTTTGACATTTCCAAACATTTAATCTGATTATTTCACATTTGTCTTGTGTCGAGCCCATACTCTTGATAAGGTCGTAGTGTGAGGTGAGGCCTTCTTTTACTCCAATTAGAATTCCACTTGCAACTTGCCGGTAGTTAGGTAGAAGGTACAGGGTGTAATCTGGTAATTGGTAGTATTTCAGTTTGTCATCCGAAAGGTTTGCTTCCATAATTGTGAAAATATCTACATCATAGTTTTGCAGGATTTTCTGTACTTGGATCTTTTTGTCCTGTGGCATCGCTCCAGCATTCCATTGAAGGATCTGTAGACGTTGTGATTCTCCCTGACGAGGGCGATTTCTCTTATAGCCTTGTTTCAAGCTAATCATAATAAATCGAAGTCAGATCAAATGCCGTGTGATAGACTTTTTGCCGTAAGAAAATACGTTGTTCAGGGTGCACCACGTGGAGGTAAGTCTATAAAATAAATGAATTCTAATATCATCCAAATAAACAAGTGATGTGCAATAATATTAATGGGTTTAATAGATATTAATAGTTTAATGCAATGGTACATTTAACAATTTCAATTAATATTATTTAAGGATAATGCAAGCTCTATGAAACGCCTTCTTTGTGACAGATGTCTCAAATTTTGCAAAGACAATCGGCTGTTCGCATACACACATACACACCAGCTACATTTTACACTAATTGATATACGCTTTTATGTAATTATTTTAAAGTCAATGTTAGACAAAGAACGGAAAAGGAAGATTTCAATGAATATAACATCCAGAACTTGATCGGAGGTAGGAAAAGTAACAAAATAGAGAAAATGTGAATGTGAGGCCTCACAGAGCTCGTTCCTCAATGAACCAGAGCTTGATAGTCATACATCCCATCTTCGAATCCATAATCTCTGTTTCTTCTCAGAGTCGACTCCTAAAATCCATTTCATTAACTCATAACAGTTGACATCCTTAACACCAAAGATGGGACGACACCCATCTCCTTACAACTCGATCACTTCGAGTGCATGCTCTCTCTCTTCCTCCCTCTTGCGTAATCACATTTAACTAATTTGGATTAGAGTAATAAAATCCAAATGACTGTAAACATTTTGTCCAAAAATACTATATGTAGCAACATTCTAATTCAGCTGACATAAAAGGTAAACCCTAAAAAATTAGCGTAAAACAATTTTAAGGAAAATCAATGCTTGACCCCGGCTAGAGATATGAATGAACGTTTATATTGCCCCCGGTAACTGTTGTCCAAAAGCTAATATTCCACGTGGGTAAGTAATACGCAAGATTCAAGATTTAGAAAAAATGAATTATCCTGAAACACGTTCAGACAGTTCATTCCATGTATTCGTTCAGTGCACAACAGTCATCTGATCACCTATTTAGACGCTTCAGATTTGGTCAAGCATTATTTAATGAATTTAAGTGCCTCTAATTTCCACTTTATGCGCCTATTTTTGCTCTCTTAATCCTTAACTTCCTATCATTCTCTCTAATTCACTAAGTTGCAAAAAATCCCATTTTTTACTCCATTTCTTATCACATGTTTGGCGAAAGAGGGAGCTTAAGTGAATATTTTAATTTTGCAGCACAAAAAACAAATGACCTAGAAGGTCCCAGATATTAATCTATTACCAAAGATAGGCTTTATGATAATTATCATTGGCCATTTAGTTGACTTCGGTTTTTACAGAGGGGATGAACACTAAAAGCAAAAAAATTCGATTGGGGAGGGGGACAGATGAGTGATTTACAGATGTAAAAGAGGCAGACAGACACAAAGGTAGAGTTCACAGATGTAAAAGAGACAGACAGACACAAAGGCAGAGGGACTTCACAGAGAGGAGGAACAGGCAAAGTCACAAAATGTCGAGAGGGGGAACAGAAGAGTGGCCACAGACGTAAAAGAGACAGACAGACACAAAGGTAGAAAAAGGTGCAGATGTAAAAGAGGCAGACAGACACAAAGGTAGAGAAAACATGTAAGGTAAGAACTGCGCAAGTAGTCAAATATGACATACAGTGGAGTCATGGTACTTTGAAGGGAGAAGTCAACTGCTGGTTAATAGACATTTTTGCCGTATGAGTATGCGCTGCCCTGGGTGCCCATGGTAAGTCTATCGCACACTCCAAACCCCATATACAACGCACCTGTTCTCAGGTTAGTCTTTGATGGCCCAATTAATAATTGCTATGAACTGATCTCCTGCCTGATGTGATAGACCATGGGTAGGGCTCCTGCCCTTGATATGCCATTGACTACAGTGATGACGACGTTATATTTTTTAAAATTCATTAAAAATGCAGAAATATATGTCGTTTCTCCGAACACTTATTAGTAGTACTGCTCGAACTCTATCTGAGGAGAACCTGTTGACTTATGCCCCTGCCATAATTATCAACTACTAGTCAACAACTCCAGACTTAGAGATGTTTCATTTGGTCTTTCGAATAATTCAACCATCGATTTGCAATTTAGATGATCAATTGGCTCTTTTAACAGCCACTCTTTCCTCTATTTCTTTTAGCGGTATCGAATGCGCAACTGGTCCATTCTAACTCTCGTCATTCTGAGATGGAGAATGTCACTGTCTTATGCAATCATTGATGACAATTCGATGTTAACGAAGATATCTCAACAATGTTTTAAAAAGGTTTTACTTGATTAAACACTACCTAAAGCTATTACCTTTTGCTCCTTCATATCAAATTAGTTTATTATTTTTTTGCATATCAAACAAGATTACGAGTTTAGTCTTTTCCTTCTTAAAAGAAAAAGGACCACTAGACGGTTTTTACCTCCTAATTAGGTATGCAGATATTGGCAAAGCACTAATTCAATAAAATACCTTCAACAATACTTTACTTCAGTATATTTTCTGAGGGCTTATTGTGAATTATTTTTAAAATTGCTGAATTACAGAACAGCAGTGCAGTAATAAATACCACAAAGTGGACGAAATCCATTGAAGTTATATCAAAGTTACTATTTTCACGGGCTGAGTTTTGTTAATAGGATTCGAAAAGTCAGGCAGAGCCTCCACCTAAAGAGAATACAAACTGAATGGCCAGCAACATTAAAGTGTATATGGGCTATACACTAGGCTGCTTTATTGTCGTTCAAAAGTTCTTAATGCCTAAATTTTAAACATCAATATGTGGAATTACATGTGAAAGGATAAAGTCATTTATTTTAGAGTGTTCTGTAAAACTGTTTAATTTTATTTATGGTAAGCCCTATTACATTAATGGTCTTTTTCTGCTTTAAAATTGAATGGTTAATTTCCCGTAGTAGCAAATGTTATTGAAACAAGTCTGTAACTAATCCTTAACAATCCTTTATTAAGTTCAACTAGCTACAGAATAGGAGAGTTTGCCATCGTCAACTTCCCCTACAAAAACCGTTGTCCTTTAGTCAGCTAATCTAAATTAATAGTATCGAAAATAGAGAATATTTAGTGTTAAGAGTGCTTATTGGAAATATGACCAGTAAATTAATACGATTAACTCTACTTTGAATAGGTATTGATATTTATTTATTTAACTGGGAGGACCTCTGTATTCACGAGCAGACATTTTTGCTTATTGACTTTTATTACATTCAAGAATATCAAAGAGTAGACGAGTTACCAATGGCCAGTCTAGTGTCGGGCGTTACAAATGCTAATTATTACTAATGGCCAGTTGTTCCAAATTTTTTTGCTAAATTAAGGATTTTATGGTTATTATTAATTCCAGTACCCGGCTTTCAAATTGCTATATATAACTGGGCATAACATTTAATTTATACCATATTTAGAGTTCTACTTCGTTGGCTGAAATAAAAATAAACAGAACAAAGATTTGTTTTCTTTACTATTTTAAAAATTAAGATAGACAGTAAAGATATGATGCATCACTTCTTTATTATGTTCTTATTATGACAAGACATTTCAATGTTATAATGTGCCGATAAATTGTGCATGGTGCAAATATTACTGGCGTTTTATTTTGCAATTTAATTAATATTAATATTAATGCTCAATAAAACTGTTAGATATGTTAAATTACATTTTCTAATTTACTGTGTAAATAGTTAATTCACTTTTATTTATCTTTAGACGTCTCGTTACAATCTTCAGGAAACATCTCAGAGCCTGTCCTTACCAGTAAGTAAATAGGCTTCCTTAACTTCCCTATTCTATATTTTTTCATCCAATGTTTTCTTATTGTTTAACAGTCTCAGGCTCGATGTTTGATTGGCCTCTATGATTCCCAAACGGGTTTTCTAGAAGATCATTCCGAGAATGCTCGTTTTTTAGTGGGCTGTCAGTCTGTAAAGCCGAATGGCAGTCAGGTGAGACTTTTACCGGACCTTCATAAGTAAAAATTATTCGGATGTTATCACACTTTCCTTCAGGTTCACCTAGTAACTCTAGAAGAAGCCTTTTCCTGCCAATCGTTTCATTTTAAGTGCCAGTCATTCATTCACCCTGACGGCGAAGTTGTAAGTCTTACTGCTATGCCCGCAGCTCCCCTTCTCTTTGTTTCGATCTATTCATCAGGTGCGTTTATTGATTCTTTTAATCAAGAAATCATATTTTTCTCGGTTCCCGAAATAGCTATTCTTAGATAGAGCACTAATGACACCGAAATTATCAATTTAGTTTTAAGTTCTTGACATTTATTGCTATACCTTAACTGTTGTATGCATAACGATATCCCATTCATTTATTGTATGTCAATTTTTCATATCAGGTATTAAAATTGGATGTTGCTAAACATGAAAAATCATTTCTTAAACTGTGTTGATTGTGCCCTTGCTCAAACTGTACTTTTTATCGGCGTGTTCTTAGTTTGTGATCTTTGATTTTGATTTGATGGTTGAAATTTATTATGCGTATTTTTCTGTATTTTCTAAATCATAAACCCGTTCATTTGAGTTTTATCCGCAAGTACGCTCGTTGAAGCGTTGAAGGGACTGAATGGCGGAATCTTTTGCAGCTTCTTAATTAAATACTGTCCTGCTAAATTTAAAACTGGAGTTTGCGTAGATATCCTAATAGGAATGTGTTTTGTTCATTATGAACATAGGTGTTTCAATATTTCTTCTGACTTTATTTTATTTATCAAAAAACATAATGATAAATTTATGACTGATCTAATTAGAAATAGTCGACAATCGCAGATATGTAAGTGTGCCTTAATTTCTCCTTAATAATGATTAGCCAAGATATGTACACTTCAATTGGATTCTACGTTGAATTGGGAGAATTGATTTTGGCAAAAATTAGAAGTCGCTATCGTCTAATTTATTATTAATACTGCTTGTAAAACGAGCACTTTTCCAATTTACAATCATTAGAAAATATCTTTATTGGCCAGTAAAATATTTACCTATCAGATGTCAAGTAAAAGTTGGGGCTCCAGCTGATACGTCAAAGGTCTACATTTCACGAAATGGATATAACTCTCTATGCCATGACCTATCGCTCAAAAATGTAGGCTCTTGGTTTCCACCTCTAGGCTTTCAACTTATTTTTTGACTAGGTTGCTCATAATTGATTAAGCACTTTTTTCAGTCGAGTAGTTTGCCACGGCATCTAATTGCAGTTATTTTTTTTAATACCCTAATAACACAGCCAGTTGAGCTACTCAAAGCTAGAGTTCGTTCTGTCCATGACCTAAAGTTCTTCTGCATTGGTTAAAATTTCCTTATTTTAGTCTCTGAAAGCAGAACCGAATTGACCAGTGGAGCTCGTATCTGGCGTCTACCTCCGCCGTCACCACAAACTCTATCAGCCGCTGACTCTGAGGATGAAAGAGAAATTGATTTCGCTGATCGACCTGCCGAACAATTGGAGTTTGTCAGCAGCCTACCCTGTGACAATTTTAATTCTGTCAAAAAGTATGCCTTCAGCATTTATTATCTACCTTATAAGCTAGCCGCTGCTAATGTATCTGTGACTTAGCGGTCACTGTTGTTTCCCATGGGACCAATGCAAGTCAAAATGGGTAATGTTGGTTATCTAAAAAGTATTAGGAGGAGAAAGAATCTGCAAGTCATTTAACTCCATGTACTGTCAAGAACTGAAGAGATTATTGAATTCGTTTTCACTCAACTCTCAGTTTCGTTTTGAGCAAGCGTCCTCCAATTTTAATTTTGGTCTCTATTAGTAAAAGCTGAAATTACCCCACCCCCTTTAATAATCAACCTTGACTTGTGTGTTTGGCCATTCCGTTCACAAGATGTGTGCCGATCGAAGCCCATGACCTTGGGCTTCCTAGATGAGCATGTTAACTGTTAAGCTACGTTTTTTATTTAATCAAGTTTTAACATTAATTTCGCAAAGTAGCATTAATAAGTATGGTTTGTAATCATCTTTCACCATTTGCTAGAATCGCATCACATCCTTCTGACACCTCATCTGATTTGGCCTGCTTACTAGGGCCACCTCTTCCTGGAACTCAATAGTATGTACAGCACTTTTGAAATCATTTTAACGCTTTAAATTTATTTTGATACTAAATGACTGCTTGTTTTTTATAGCTTTACTGGTGGCAAATTTCTCTCGCCGGCTTCAAGTTTTCTGGCAATTCTGAAATCCTCCTCCGGCGATTATGCAGTTGATTCCTGCTGCCAATTACGATTTCCTGGAGACGAGTCTTCCGGGGGAGTCCTTACATCGTCAGTTAATGCCATTCGATGGTCCCCGCATAGAAATGCTTCAACCGTTGGAGTAGCTTTGGACTCCGGCGTGCTTGGCATGGACACACGATCAATGCAGTAAGCGAGAAATAACTCCTTACTTAAATTATATTAGTAGCATGTGCAAATGTGGCTTGATTTTGTGTCTTGCAGATCATCGTTTTGGTTAAACGATGTGCATTGGCCTTGCGTGCGGGATATCGATTTCAATCCAAATCGGGATCACATCCTAGCAACAGGTGGAGACGATGGCTGTCTAAGTATTTGGGATCTTCGATATATTGGTAAGACGGAGAGTTTCTCGTTCAGAAATGTCAGCACTGGGACTGCACGTCAGAAACCCCTATTCACCATTCCTGCGCATTCGCATTGGGTTTGTTTAACTGTGCAATATGATCAATTTAGTGTTTTGTCTCATAATATTATGTAATTTGGAATTGAAAATTTCAGATTTGGTCAATCCGTTATCACCCAACGCGTGATCAGCTGCTCCTATCAGCTAGCAGTGATTCTTCCGTTTGTCTCTACGGCTTGCCAAGCTATTCATCAGAAGTCAAGGACGTGAAGCCTAGCACTTTTGCTAAGAGTAGGAGTGGTGCTCCGTCACCTGCGAATTCGGAGATATCGGTTGAGGGGTAAGTTGCTGTAATTTTAGTGTTCACTTTCTTACAGCTCAGGTAAATGTCATTTTTGTAGACTGTACAATTTTGGTTGCAGTATATTGACTTAATAGTTACTTCATGTTCCTAAATTCAAATTTCATGATTCTTGACTTGGATTACTGACCAAATTCTTGCTCTCCATTCAATTATGATGGTTGTCCTTCCGCCTACATTTATTTTTCTTACAAATGAATGATTGTGTTTTAGTGTGACGAATTACGGGAGATTTTTCTTGATCCAATTAAGCTCAACATCTAAAAGCTTTAATCTATTGCTTTATTGCGTGTTTAAGGGGGATACCTTCAGATGAAGCCCTTGAAATTGTTAAAAATTCAACGCGAGGTCAAGCTATTTAATTCCTTTTACAATAATTATTTGCCCAATAATCAGGGGGGGGGGCTGACTTTTTCTGGGACTTCGTCCTTCCTTTAATAACCATTTTATTGATTGCAGCTTAGAGGACGGTGTACTGGCTCGATTGGATGAACAACACGAGAGTGTCTATGCTGTAGATTGGAGTCCAATAGATCCTTGGGTATTCGCCTCTGTCACTTTTGACGGTCACTTTGTCGTCAATCAGGTGCCCGACAAGGTCAAACTTGGAATCCTCCTTCAACGTGACGATGATGATGAGGAGGAGGTGGAGGAGGAGGAGGACGCAGGAGATTTCGATAAAATCTGAGAGTGAATTTGTTTTCTCTATTTATCTCATTCATTCTTTGTCTTTTTGTATTTCTTTTCATTTCTGGATTTCTTGTGTATGTGATGACGTTGAATATACTTACTTTGTTTTAAGGAAGACTTCGTACTTGGGATTTCTTTGCCTAAGCTCAAGGTTATATTTGTACTTGGTTCATCTCTGTTCCATAAGGGAAAGCAAGAAATTTTGTCTTTTATTTTAGTATACTGTCATTGCACCCATTAGATTAACAGCTCTCCTATGAAAGGAAATTGCTAATGGTGATATTGTTTCCTCAATACCCTGTCTCATTTGATTACTTTGATTCAAACATCATTTGTCAGGATTTCTCTGGCGTTATTTTACCTTCATTCCACCACGATTTTAGCCAACCAGGAATGCTCGAATCGGAAATCATAAGCAAACGCGAAATTGACGACTATAAGCACGCCTCTGGGGCTTTTCAGTGGTCTCCTTTTTTCGTGTCATTGCATGTATGTTGGTTCGAATGAACTGTTTTTCTTATTAGTTGTGCTGAAGCCATTTTATCTCTCAGATCTGAGGCCTTTGAATAATTTCTTTCGTTCAAAGACAACACTGTGGTGGAGGTTTCTTGATTGGAATACTACCTTTCCTAGAGGTTTGTGTAATTTTTATGCCGTAACCATCTTCACAGCCCTACAGCTGTGTCCGTCAGAATGGTACAAATATTTCGACATTCATTATCTATCCGCATCTTATGATGGTATCATGTTGCAATTCAATCATATTGAGAATTCTTACGCGGACATCCACATTACAACAGTTCGTAAGACCGCAAAGGAACTTTGAGTACTTGATTGATTTAAACTAATTTTATGTCCGATCGTTCAAAGTCTTCATTTTTCCAGTAGCATGATTAATCACATTACTCTATTTTGCATTAGTTTGGGGTGTGTGATAGACTTACCTCCACGTGGTGCACCCTGGGCAACGTATG